CATTCCTAAACCGTGAATCCTCCGCGGCATCTCTCCGTCTTCTCTTCTCCGTCTCTCCATCTTTACCATCCAATCATGGCTCGCCTTGTCTCGTCCTCGTCCTCGTCCTCGTCGTCATCGTCGTCATCATCATCGTCATGGTACACATAGCGGATCCTAAAAATATACGACGGCTTGTATTCGCACGCTACGGTTATCTATCTTCCACTCGGAGGAGGAAACTCGACCGAGCACAAACCGTCGAACGGGATTCCAAAAAGTAGAACATCCGGCAACACACTCGCTCATCTGCTTTACGCGATCATCCGTCGTGCTTCGTACCCGCTCGCTGGCGTTTTTGCCGGAAGAATGGAGAAACAACTGGAAAGAAAAAAAGAAGGCAGGGACGGTCTCTTTCCGCGTATACTTGCGTGCCAGTCAATGATCTAAACTCTAAACTAATCTAAAGGATTACCATCCTTCCGCTGTTCGGCTAACAAGATAAAATACATATTTCAATTGTCGCAGTTTCTATCTTGTAGCTTCGTTCTTACGTTTTACGATTTCAGATTTTGTAGATTTCAAACTCGGTTTCCGCGATTTTTTTCACATCCCACGACTTTTATATTTTATAATAGCGATATCGCGTTTTGTCTCTCTCTCTCTATCTCTCTCTCTCTCCTCCCCTCTCTCTCCCTCCCTCTTCCCCCCCTCTCTCTCTTTCTCTTTATTTCTTCCATTTTTCGATATTAATTACGAGCTGTTGTGTTGTCGATGTTATTTCGCGATCGTTGGTTGCAATATCATGTGTCTATCCGCGGAGAGAAAATAATATTTCACACACGTTCTCCGAACGAGAAATGCTAATGGACGCCGAGAGAACTGTGTGCGTAGCGCGAGCATGGCCGTTTGACCTTTTGAAAGAAAGGAAGGTCGTCACATCGAGTCTTTCCCAGCGCCAACTGCATCAGCTACATGACTGAGTAATGTCGCGTCTTTCGTTCCTCTTCAACGCAACTCACGCGTTTCAATGAAGCGTCGGATGTTTTCAATTGCATTGCACGGAAAATTTTTTATTTCGTCATAATGTATATTAAAAATAAAATATTTTTGTATTTATAAAAGTAAAGGAACTTAAAATAACTGTTTAAAAATTATAGTACCATAACAATTACATTGGAAAATATTCAGTTTACAGAATAGCATCTTGTTTATCGTTCAATATGTTCATACATTTAATTGGTTTCAGGAAGTATCAGTGAGTAGTCGTAAAATGATCAGGAAATGATGAAATGATTGAAAGAATCTGCTACGATCGAACAATGCTAATATTATTTGATAGCTAGTAGAAATCATCGATAATATACATAAAAGTGTAGTTGCCAGATTTTCTTAAATTATTTATTCTTGAAATAACGCTATGTACTTAGTGGGCGGTCATTGCGGGTCACCCTGTATATATAAAGAATCATATATAGAAAATATTAATTAACTTTGCCTCATCATTGCTTTGCAAAGGTTATTGAAGGATAAATGCTGCTGCGTTCACTATTGTTATTTTATTAAGATAACTATGAGATACTACGCTTTCTTCTTAACTGAAACTTTATCCGCTTTTTACTATCTAATTTACATATTCCGTCGATCAAAGATACCACGAATCGCAATATTGCCTGTTATAAGACAAGATTCTGGCTGCAGCAAGTTGGTTTACTTTGATCGAACCACTGACACGAATCAATTTCGCGGAAACTCGAGAGCAATCCCAGATGATGAACGGCACGCTGTGAAATAAAAACTTTTGCTCGAAGCAATAACTAGATATAAACTTATGCGCGACATATTCCCCTTCTCATTGACCAGAAGAAAAATTTATTCCGTTGCGAATTTTCATGTAGATTACGATAAACCGGATCAAAGTACCGATAGAATGATTAACAAGGAAATTTGGTAGAAACTAAGCTAGAATACAAAAGTAAGCGAAAATATATGTAGGTGAACCGATAACACAACTCGTCTAACCGTCGAGTTGTCGTCACCGAGACGGAGTTTAACTATTTTACAAGGTCCCTTTCGACTCCGGTACTCCCTAAGGCACATCATGTGCACTAAAAACGAACGAGGCCGTTGCGTCAGTCACTGTCAGTGCGGGTCACCGATTAACCGCCTTTTCTATCTTCTGTGTACTCATCGGTATGAGATGGGCAAAGTATCCGGTTGCTCAGGAAACGCTCGCGGAACCTTGGAATAAGACTTCCCGCACACAAACGTGCTTGCCGGAAGTTTTTAACTTCCAACAAGAAATCTCACGAGTACGATAAATCAAAGTGTACAAAAACTTATATTTACGAAGCCTTTATCGTGTGTTTAGAACATTAATCGATTAAGTAGTAATGTAAATAACCTAATCTAATTTAAATAACAATGGCGTTGGAATGACACTCTTAGCAAATACTACAATGTGGAGATTGCGTTCTTATTGCGATGCGTTATTACAGCTTTGCGTTCAATCTCTACCTAAACAGACAGTTTAATGCCACGTTTTTTTACGCAGGATGGGAACTGCGAGGCATACACTGTTACTGGGAAAAAGCGGCGGAATTATGCAGGAGGTAAGCCACGCACTATCGATCTTTTCATTAATTCTGCTATCTAAAGTTTGACTTTAATAAAATACGACCGATATCTCTTGTCGATAAAAAAGTAAAAAGTCGTAATACAGATTGTTGTCTCAATCACTTTAAAAAATAAAAGATCCAGAAAATTCCGTTTCTCTCGCATAACATTACGCGAGATAGGCTATCGATGATTCTGACGGTCCATTGCAGATACGGAAGCGAGCTGATGGTGGTCGAGTCGTACAGCGAGAACAACATGTCGGCGAGCATGATCGGCCGGCATTTGGATCATTACTGGCTAGGTCTCGCTTCACTCGACGATTTACGGACCAACACACTCGAATCCGCCGCGGGAATGCTCGTCTCTCAATACGCCGGTTCGTATGCAGTTCCGTTTCATTTGGTGTGCAGACGAGCGGATTCTGCGCGATTGGATCCCGTAACTGAACGCATCTTCCAGTTACTCTTTTGCCTTTCTTTTTTATCTCTCTCTCCCTCTCTCTCTTTCTTTCCCAAGTGCACAACCATCTCTTTGCCATTAACGATCGACTGCTCTTAAGAGACCTTGACCGATATTCCGCGCAATGCGATGCGTTTTGCAAGTCCAACTCTCAAAGAGAATAAGAATCCAAAGAGCGAGATAAATGCTTAACATTCTTAAGCATACATTAAGCACATTTTTAAAGTCTATTTGATCAAAGAAATACAATTTTGTCATTTATCTCTTTTTTCTCTTAAGCTTCCTCAGTTCTACAAACCTCTTTATTTTCAATTGCTTGAAATTAAAAACTTGAAATATTAATTACTAGAAATTATTCCATCAATGTCGAATTTTATTGAGAAAAAATTAATTTGAAATCGGTTAAAAAATTTACGGTAAAATAATATTCATCAACTATGATGTATCTTATAATATATTTCTTTCTACTTTTTATTTTTAAAATAATCTTTCTTAAAAACTAAAATAATTATTACACAAAAAAAAGAAATTAGAAATTATTTCTTTATACATATAATAAATATATATAAATTTATTATTTTAGTAAAAGTTTTCAAGCACATTACACGAACGTATTACGAAATTAAATGGCTGATGCGAACATTTCACTCAAAATCGTTCTCGCACACATGCGGAACTAGTATTTCTATCAGGGTCACGGAAACACGGAACTCGCGTACACGGCACGAAGACACACTTTTCTCACAACAATGCCCAGACATCGTTGCTTTGTGTCCATTTGCTATACAGACTACAACTTCCCCTTTTAGAGCATTTACACACTGTCCGCACCACTTAAACCTCACTATTAATTAAGCGTTGAAAGTAGTTAGCAACGTATATACTAATTTCTAACTAACATAACAAATATGAAGTAATTTGATACAGTCTATTGCCGGAAATATGTATTATTTGAGACATATTTGCATTCTTAACGTTGTTACTATAATCATTCAACTATGTATATACTTATACGTATGTAATTTGATTACAAGAGAGAGAGAGAGAGAATAAAGTTTTTAAAAATATTTTTAATCTGATCGTTAAAATATTTTCAACAATCAGATTAAAAATGATAGTTATTACATTTAAAAAAAATGTAGGTTTCTGGGCGCCGAGGCAACCGAATCCACACTCGGGTGAGTGCGTAGACGTCGCCTTGACGGACGACCGACAAACGTGGGAATTGACCACGTGCGAGTCACTTCTTCCTTTCATGTGTCGTGCCAACGCCTGTCCTTCCGGTAAGTTCTACCGTCACGTGAATCGGCGACTTGGCTTTCCGTATTTCATGCGCGGAACGGAATGATAATTCTCATCCTCCTCCCTGTAACGATAATACATCCGCAGGTTCGTTCCACTGCTCGAACGGCAAGTGCATCAACGCGGCGTTCAAGTGCGACAAGCAGGACGATTGCGGCGATTATTCCGATGAGCTGGACTGTCCGGCTAATTGCCAATATTATATGGCGAGCAGCGGCGACGTCGTGGAGAGTCCGAATTACCCGCATAAATATGCACCCCTCAGCAATTGCAAGTGGACACTGGAAGGCCCTCAAGGACATAATATTCTTCTGCAGGTAAGTCTTTCCCGCTCAATGAATCTCTTTCAATAACATAACATTTAATGTAGAAAAATCTTGTTTAATACAGAGAAGTTTTGCTTCTCCTCAAAATCAGAATTAAACGATAAATAAAAACAAGCTATAATTCGTGTGTTCCAGTTCCAAGAATTTGAGACCGAGAAAAGCTTCGACATAGTGCAGATCCTCGTAGGCGGTAGAACCGAGGAGAAGTCCGTGAATCTTGCGACTCTTTCCGGCAAGCAAGAATTGAGCAACAAACTCTTCGTCTCGGCCTCGAACTTTATGATTATCAAGTTTAGCACTGATGCTTCGGTGGAGAGGAAGGGTTTCCGCGCTTCCTGGAAAACCGAGCCGCAGACCTGCGGCGGAATTCTTAGAGCTACATCGCAAGGACAGGTGCTCACGTCTCCGGGATATCCGCAGAATTATCCTGGAGGTCTCGAATGCCTGTATATTCTGCAGGCTCAGGCGGGACGCATAATGTCCGTGGAGGTAAATTGAAATTTTCTACGCATCTGCTTTATTTTAGTCGCAATTTTATATGATTGCTTGTTTAATACGGCAAACTTAAAATTCCCCTTTAAATGAAAAAAAAAATACAAAACATTGGTAAAACTTACGAATGCATTTGACTTTCTCGTTTCTAGATCGAGGACTTGGATCTCGAGATGAATCGAGATTACATTCTTGTCAGGGACGGAGACTCACCTATGAGCCGACCGATCGCGCGTTTCACGGGAAAATCAGAGGAAAATCCGGCGGTGATCATGTCCACCGGAAACAACTTGTATCTGTACTTTAAAACAAGTCTTGGCGATTCCAGGCGTGGTTTCAGCATTCGCTTCACGCAAGGCTGCAAGGCTACGATCATCGCGAGAAATGGCACGGTTCAATCGCCTTCTTACGGCCTCAACGATTATCCTAATAACCAGGAATGTTTGTACAGAATCAGAAATCCGGATAGAGGACCGCTGTCTCTGAAATTTCTCAGTTTCAACGTTCATAAAACTGACTACGTGCAGGTAAGATTATAATCACGTTATGTAAATGAAAAAGCTTCGTATCGCGCGGAATCGTTAACTTTCCTTTTCTCTCGCGGAATTGACAGATATACGATGGTTCCAACACGAACGGTCTGCGATTACATCCCGGAAGCGGTTTCACCTCTAACACTCGACCCAAGATCACGCTCACTGCGGAAAGCGGAGAAATGCTCGTCAGATTCGCCTCCGATGCTTTGCACAGCAGCACCGGTTGGCAAGCTGAATTTTCTGCCGGTAAATTATATTATATTTTATTTCTTATAATTTGTCATTTTATAACAAAATCTTTTTAATATATAATTATATTATAATATTAATTACTATAATATATGTACAATAAAATATATATATACTATGTATATGAATTATGTTTTTTTATTAATGCATAAGGTGTGCAATAGCTGTGTGCTCGATATCACAAAAAAAATTCTATTATAGATTGTCCGCCATTGCAACCCGGCGAGGGAGCACTAGCGTCGAGTCGGGACACAGCTTTCGGCACGATAGTTACGTTCTCTTGCCCGCTAGGACAAGAATTCGCCACAGGAAAGTCGAGAATCTCCACGGAGTGTCTCCCTGGAGGAAACTGGTCCGTTACATATATTCCCAAATGTCAGGAAGTATACTGCGGTCCCGTACCTCAAATCGACAACGGATTCTCGATTGGCTCCTCGAATGTTACTTACCGCGGACTAGCAACCTATCAGTGTTACGCGGGATTTGCGTTTCCTTCCGGAAGGCCGACGGAAAAGATTTCATGCCTGGCGGACGGAAGATGGGAAAAAAAGCCATCTTGTTTAGGTACGTTAAATTATATGTAATTGGTATGAAATAATTATGAAATTAAAACGCGAAATAAAATGTAATAAAAAAAATATGCCTATCTCTTTCAGCATCTCAATGCGCTCCATTGCCGGAGGCTCCTCATTCTAACATAACTATCTTGAACGGAGGTGGTCGAAGTTACGGCACGATTGTTAGATTCGAGTGCGAACCCGGTTACGTACGAAGTGGACATCCCGTCATCCTTTGCATGAGCAACGGAACCTGGTCCGACGAAGTGCCAACGTGTTCTCGTGAGTAGTAAACTGCTGTAAAACATGCTAATAGTATTTAATTAATTTAACATTGATGTACAATTACATTGACAAAAATGGCATTTATTTTTTACAGGGGCTAAATGTCCGCTACTGCCGACGATTAAAAACGGATTTGTCGTCGATACCGGCAGAGATTACTTCTTTGGCGATGAAGCCAGGGTGCAATGTAACAGAGGCTACAAACTAACTGGATCAAATATCATACAATGCGGACCCTATCAACGATTCGATAACGTACCGACTTGCGAAGGTAGAGATTTTATAGCGTTCACAAAATTATTCATCACATTGAGACGAATATGTTTATAGACATAAACGAGTGCGCATCAAGCCAATGCGATCTGGCGTCCACGGAGTGCATAAACAATCCAGGTGCATTTACCTGCAAGTGTAAGCCGGGATTCGCACCGACTATGGAGTGTCGACCTATCGGCGATCTCGGGCTAATCAACGGCGGCATTCCCGACGAATCGATCACGGTTTCCAGCTCGGAAAATGGATACACAAAAACCGTAAGATGCTAAGTTTTCAAATCAATCCTCTTTTCTCTCTTTTTCTGTGTGATATACTTATACGTATCTCTCTAAAGGGAATTCGTTTAAACAACGGCGACGGCTGGTGCGGCAACAACATCGAGCCGGGCACGAATTGGGTGATAATCGACATGAAAGCACCGACCATCATTCGCGGCTTTCGCACACAGGTTGTAGCCAGGTTGGACGGCAACATCGCGTACACATCAGCCGTGCGGATTCAGTACACGAACGATCTGACGGACATCTTCAAGGACTACACCAATCCGGATGGCACACCGGTGGAGTTTAGGATTTTAGAGGCGACACTCTCCGTTCTGAACCTGCCGGTGCCAATTGAGACGCGCTACATAAAATTCAAGATACAGGATTACATCGGCGCGCCGTGCATGAAGTTAGAGATAATGGGGTGCACGAGGCTAGAATGCGCCGATATCAACGAGTGCGCGGTCAGAAACGGCGGCTGTCATCAGAAATGCATCAACAACCCCGGCGGCTACTCCTGCATGTGCAACACTGGTTTTGAATTATACAAGGGCAACGGCACGGCTGGATTCAATTTGGCGAAATCGGAGACTGGCGAGAGGGACGGCGATCTCTATCAGAGAAACAAGACGTGCGTGCCAGTAATGTGTCCTCTATTAACGTCGCCGGAAAATGGAAAACTACTCTCGACCAAGGTAAAATATTAAATGACACGAAAGACGGTTGTTTAAATAAAAATTAATTGTCACGAAAATAATGGTTACAAAATGCACAGATGTCTATACTAAACTAGATTGCTAACTTGTCACGATTACAATAGCATGGCTTGCGTCCGATAGTGTTTCCGGTGTATGAGAGAAAACGGCCGCTGCAGCCACAATTTTCTTGTTATGAATATCATATGACGCATATACTAATTCTTTATTATTTTTTAAATCGGCTAGTATATTGTATATGTTGCTAATGTATTTTTTATCAGAAACTTTCTGAATAATTTACAGGACTTTTCTGTTCAGTTTACTGTGCTCTACTTGCTCACGAGCGTTGTAAAGGGTGCTTTGGGACACCCTGTATATATATAATTTTTATTACATATATATACAATTTATAAATTTCTATAATAATTTAAGCATACTCTTTGATTTGTTTCAGATGCAAAATGCGTGTCATTACCGGACGACAAAAATGATGGTCTTTCCGTGATCCGAAACGACGAAGCCAGCGTACTGGTACCTTTCAAGCAGAACGTCACTCTCAAGTGCGGCAGTAACGGCCGTTACTTGCGCAACACCGCGACTTCCGCTTTTCGGCAGTGCATTTACGATCCTAAGCCTGGCTTACCTGATTACTGGCTGTCCGGTTTGCAGCCGGCTTGTCCTCGCGTGGACTGCGGCAAACCTCTTCCCACGCCTGGCGCCGAATACGGCCAGTATCTCGATTCCAAGTACCAGTCGTCCTTCTTTTTCGGCTGTCAGGACACCTTCAAGTTGGCCGGTCAGACCAATCGTAATGACAACGTGGTACGTTGCCAGGCAAACAGCGTCTGGGACTTTGGAAATCTGCGATGCGAGGGTCCGGTCTGCGAAGACCCCGGTAGACCAAGCGACGGCTATCAGGTAGCGCGAAGCTACGAGCAAGGCTCAGAAGTGCAGTTCGGCTGCGGTAGACCCGGCTACATTCTCATCAATCCACGACCGATCGTCTGCATCCGCGAGCCTGAATGCAAGGTCGTCAAACCGCTCGGCCTTACTTCCGGAAGAATCCCGGATTCAGCGATAAACGCTACTTCCGAGCGACCCAACTACGAAGCCAAGAATGTCCGATTAAATTCTGTGACCGGTTGGTGCGGCAAGCAGGAAGCCTTTACGTACGTCAGCGTCGATCTCGGCCGTGTCTACCGAGTGAAAGCAATTTTAGTGAAAGGCGTCATCACCAATGACATCGTCGGCAGACCTACGGAAATTCGATTCTTCTATAAGCAGTCGGAGAGCGAGAACTACGTTGTCTATTTCCCAAACTTCAATCTGACAATGCGCGATCCAGGAAATTACGGCGAACTGGCGATGATCACTCTGCCAAAATACGTGCAGGCTCGTTTTGTTATTCTCGGTATTGTCAGCTACATGGATAACGCGTGTCTAAAGTTTGAACTAATGGGATGCGAGGAACCGATGGTCGAGCCGTTGTTGGGTTACGATTACGGATTCTCGCCATGCGTGGACAACGAGCCGCCGGTATTCCAGAACTGTCCGCAACAACCCATAGTCGTGCAGAAGGGAGACGACTGCGAATTGCTTCCGGTGAATTTCACAATTCCAACGGCCATCGACAACAGTGGAAGCATCGCCCGACTGGAAGTAAAGCCGCAGAGCTTCAAAACGCCTATTCGGATCTTCGAGGACACGGTCGTGAAATATGTGGCCTTCGATTATGACGGCAATGTTGCCATCTGCGAAATTAACATTACAGTGCCCGGTTAGTAATGCTATTGTTAGTTTTTACAATATTAATATATTAATTAAAATATATTAATATATTAATAATAATAATAAATTAATATATTAATTAAAATATATTAATATTAATATAAATAAAAATATTAATATTAATATTAATTTAAAGTATTAACATTATTATTAATTAAAATATTAATATTAGTATTAATTTAAAAAAAAAATGTTAATGTAAAATATTAGAAAATATGAGAAGTATTAATATATATTAATTTTAATTTAAAATATTAATATCAATCTTTGTATATCGCAGATATAACTCCACCGAAACTGAGCTGTCCCCAGAGTTATGTTATCGAACTGGTCGATCGACAAGAAAGTTACTCCATCAATTTTAACGAAACACGAAGACGTATCAACGCCACGGACGTATCCGGTCCCGTGAAGATCACTTTTGTGCCAGAACGCGCAATGATTCGAGTCGGCAGTTTTGAAAACGTCACAGTATATGCAACGGACTCGAGCGGCAACCGAGCGACTTGCCATTTCCAAGTTTCGGTCCAGGCAACGCCCTGTGTCGATTGGGAATTGAAACCGCCGGCTAACGGCGGTCTAAAATGTGTCCCTGGAGATAAGGGATTGCAATGTATAGCAACCTGCAAGGCCGGATATAGATTCACGGATGGTGCACCAGTAAAGACATTCGGATGCGACGTTAACAAACGGTGGACGCCCTCGTCGGTGGTTCCCGACTGCGTTTCTGAAAGTCAGTCTTTATCTTAGCTTTAAGTTTTTTTAAACTGCATTTTCAAACAATATAATTAATTAAATGTTTGTATCCGTAGACACGCAACAAGCTGATTATCATGTAATTGCCTCGCTAACTTATCGCGCAAATGGCGCTGTTTCTCGATCTTGTTTGTCGATGTATCAGGATCTCATGGCTCAATATTATACAGATATCAATAATGTTTTGACTGAACGTTGTTCCGGTCTTAGTGTGAACATGAACGTGTCTTTCATCAAATCCATGCCTTCCTTAATCGAAGAAAATGTTCTCAAGGTGAGGAATAGATTGTATGAAATCTTGATCATTACTAATATAGAGATAACTGTAATAATGCGACAGCAATATGATGAAAAATGATGAGTAATACATTTCGACAAATTTCAGATGGACTTTGTCTTAGTAATTGTACCAGCAGTACGTCAAACGCAATTATACGAACATTGCGGAGCCACATTGAGTCTGATCTTCGATTTATCGGTCCCGTATGCGAGTGCAGTTATCGAGTCTCTATTAAACGTTTCGGCGATCGGCAATCAATGTCCGCCTCTTCGTGCTCTCAAATCATCCAGTAGCAAAGGTTTCACGTGCAGCGTCGGTGAAGTATTGAACATGGATACCAACGATGTTCCTCGATGTCGTAAGTAAACGTACTATACAGAGTGTCCGATAATTTTTAACACACTCGAAGTGTGAAGGTAGATTGACTCAAACTGAGAAGGAAAGTCCTGTACCATTTTGCAATTTTCGTAATAATTATTGACAAATTAATTAAAAAAGATCGACCAATTTGCGCGAATATAAGCGCGCAGCAAGAAAAGATAACCCAAAAGTAGGCGCGCGACAAAGTTCTGGGAGGAGCGCTCTACAAATAACAACAGTTACGTACGAGCGATACATAACGATGGATTCTCGAGTCCTAGCAACCACATATCAATGCCGCCCATATCAGGCCATCCTTTCTCACCGCGTGGTAATACTCACGCGAATTGGTCGATCTTTTTTAATTAATTTCTCAATAATTATTACGAAAATCGCAAAATAGTACAAGACTTTTCTTTTCAGTTTGACCCAATCTGTCTTCACACTTCGGGTGTGTCAAAAATTATTGGACACCCTGTATAATTCTCTATCTCCTACTTTAAATATTTTTAACAAAATTTTATTGTAAAATTTTTTAAATACATTTTTAGTGCATTGTCCGGCCGGAACTTTTGCCAGTGAGAAGCAGAAGCAGTGCACAGCCTGTCCGAAGGGTTTGTATCAGAACAGCGACCGTCAGGGTTCTTGCTTGCGCTGTCCATTCGGTACTTACACGAAGGAGGAAGGCTCGAAGAGCATAGACGATTGTATACCGGTCTGCGGTTACGGCACGTATTCGCCTACCGGTCTGGTGCCTTGCCTGGAGTGTCCCAGAAACAGTTACACCGGCGAACCGCCGATAGGCGGCTACAAGGACTGCCAGACTTGTCCGGCCGGCACGTTCACGTATCAACCGGCCGCGTCTGGTCGCGATCGTTGTCGCGCCAAGTGTTCCCCGGGCATGTACTCGGACACGGGACTAGCCCCGTGCGCCCAGTGCCCTAAAAACTTCTTCCAGCCTCAGCATGGCGCGACCACCTGCGTCGAGTGTCCCACAAACATGTACACGAACGGATCCGGCTCGGTGGGTCGCGAGGAATGCAAGCCCGTCCAATGCACTGACAATGTATGCCAGCACGGCGGTCTTTGCGTGCCGATGGGACACGGCGTGCACTGTTATTGTCCGGCTGGTTTCTCCGGTAGACGTTGCGAGATCGACATAGACGAGTGCGCGTCTCAGCCATGTTACAACGGTGCTACTTGCATCGATCTGCCACAAGGCTACAGGTGCCAATGCGCTAACGGCTATTCCGGTATCAATTGTCAGGAGGAAAAGTCGGATTGTACCAACGACACGTGTCCGGAGAGAGCTATGTGCAAAGACGAGCCTGGATTTAACAATTACACTTGCCTTTGTCGGTCTGGATACACCGGAGTCGATTGCGATATCACTGTAAGCGTCTCTTCATGCTTTTTTTGCAAAAAAGATTCAATGAAAAATCGCCTTTTTTATTTGTAAAATATATTTAATTTAATTTTTCTTTTCACATTTTCGCAGATAAATCCGTGCACAGCTAGCGGAAATCCTTGCAACAATGGTGCGACGTGTGTGGCACTACAACAGGGCCGCTATAAGTGCGACTGCTTGCCAGGATGGGAAGGTCAGAGCTGTGAGATCAACACCGACGATTGTGCCGAGCGACCCTGCCTGCTCGACGCCAACTGCACTGATTTGATTGCCGATTTCGCCTGCGATTGTCCGCCCGGATTTACCGGCAAACGCTGCCACGAAAAAATCGACCTGTGCTCGGGCAACCCTTGTTTAAATGGGATCTGCGTGGATAAGCTCTTCAGCCACGAATGCATCTGCCATACGGGGTGGACCGGCGCGGCTTGCGAGACCAACATCAACGAGTGCGCGTCGAGACCGTGCAGGAATAACGGCCAGTGCATTGATCAAATTGGCGATTATACCTGCACCTGCGAGCCTAGTTATACCGGCAAGCAATGCCAGCATACGGTCGATGATTGCGCGTCCGATCCTTGCCAGAACGGTGCTACGTGCTTGGATCAACTGGAGGGATTCGTTTGCAAATGCAGACCCGGTTACGTTGGGTTGCAGTGCGAGGCGGAGATCGATGAGTGCCTCAGCGATCCTTGCAGTCCGGTCGGTACCGATCGCTGCGTGGATCTCGACAATACTTTTGTTTGTCATTGCCGCGAAGGCTACACCGGCGCATCGTGCGAGATCGACATTGATGATTGCGAATCCGACCCGTGCCTGAACAATGCAATGTGCATAGACGAGGTTGGCGGTTTCAAGTGCGTGTGCCCGGAGGGATGGATCGGGACTCACTGTCAGATAGACGTCGGCATGTGCCAAAATCGACCGTGCCAGAACGATGCCGCATGCGTGGACTTGTTTATGGATTACTTCTGCGTGTAAGTATATATAAATCTTTGAAAATGTTTTTTCTTAACCGACAAAATTATTGGATAAAATTATATTATATATATATTATATTATATTATATTATATAAATTATTTATTTTAAATTTTTAATCGACAGCTGCCCATCCGGTACCGATGGCAAGCAATGTGAAACAGCACCAGAACGTTGCATCGGAAATCCGTGCATGCATCATGGTCGTTGTCAAGATTTTGGTTCGGGTTTGAATTGTACCTGCCCCGACGATTATACAGGAATTGGTTGTCAATACGAATACGATGCTTGTCAGGCCGGCGCTTGCAAAAACGGTGCTACTTGCATCGACGAAGGCTCTGGATTCACCTGCATATGTCTTCCAGGATATACAGGTAATTCTTAATATATCAACATCATCTTTTTTGTTACGAATTAATTACTAAATTACTAAATTAAAAAATAATTTTCTAATTTTTCTTAATTAGGCCAAACTTGCGAGGAGGACATAATCGACTGCAAAGAGAATTCTTGTCCGCCATCGGCGACCTGTATCGATCTTACCGGCAAATTTTTCTGCCAATGTCCGTTTAATTTAACTGGCGACGATTGCAGAAAATGTATGTCTCTCATAATTTTTTATTTTAACTTAGATATTATTAGTGCAATAATTATTTTTATTCTTGTTATTATTTTAATTCAAATTCTTACAGCCATCCAAGTGGATTATGATTTGTACTTTAGCGATCCGGGACGAAGCAGTGCTTCACAGATTATTCCATTTTTCACTGGTTCCACGAAGAGCTTGACTGTTGCTATGTGGGTGCAATTTACGCAGAGAGATGAAGCTGGAATTTTCTTCACTCTTTATGGTGTCAGGTAGGTTCATTTGCACTTCTATTTTTAACAATATATTTTACATAATATCTTGCTATTATTTTTTTCCAAGAAAATTATAATAAAAATTTACATTTGTAATATCTTTTGTTCAGCTCGCCGCACGTTCCAACAAACCGCAGACTTATGATCCAAGCACACAGTAATGGAGTTCAGATATCCCTCTTCCACGACTTGCAAGATGTTTATCTGCCATTCAGAGAATACGCGACTATAAACGATGGACAATGGCATCACGTAGCAGTTGTATGGAACGGAGAAAATGGCGGAGAGCTCACTCTAATCACGGAGGGCCTCATCGCTAGCAAGACCGAGGGTTACGGTAGCGGCAGATCACTTTCGGCGTAGTAAATATCTTTTTATCTAAAAATCGAAAGCACTTTTTTGTGCATCTTTGCAACAAAAAAATTTAACGTTTTCTCTTGTAGTGCATGGGCCGTGTTAGGTAAACCGCAGAGCGAGAACATAAAGGGCTACACGGAATCAGGCTTCCAAGGCCATCTGACCAAGGTGCAAGTCTGGGGCCGCGCGTTGCACGTGACGAATGAGATTCAGAAACAGGTGCGCGACTGCCGCACGGAACCAGTGCTCTATCAAGGCCTGGTGCTGACATGGGCAGGATACGACGAGACCATAGGTGGGGTCGAGAGAATAGTGCCGTCGCATTGTGGACAGCGAGTGTGTCCGCCCGGTTACGGTGGCAACAGATGTCAGCAGCTCGAGGCCGACAAGATTCCGCCCAAGGTGGAGCATTGTCCGGGCGATCTCTGGGTGATCGCGAGAAACGGATCGTCCATAGTCACCTGGGACGAGCCGCGTTTTAGCGACAATGTCGGCGTCACAAAGATACAGGAGAAGAACGGACATCGAGCCGGGCAGACTCTGATGTGGGGCATTTACGATATCAGTTACGTGGCTTACGATCAGGCCGGAAACTCGGCCAGTTGCAATTTCAAAGTTTACATATTGTGTAAGTAAAATCTTTCTTATTTAATATTTATTCAGAAGAAAATGATAAAATATCTACTTAAAGAATATTTTTTAAAAGTCGTTGTGCGTGAATTATTTAAAATTTCAACATATTCTTCTTGTTGCAGCGGACTTCTGTCCGACACTGGACGATCCTATCGGTGGTATACAACAGTGCAAAGACTGGGGCTCGGGAGGCCAATTCAAAGTCTGTGAAATTTCTTGCAACACCGGACTTCGATTTTCGCAGGAGGTTCCCAAGTTCTACACGTGCGGTGCGGAAGGCTTCTGGAGGCCCACCAATGATCCTAGTCTACCTCTGGTGTATCCAGCTTGTACAAGTAATTATTTTGTTCACGTTTGAATGATATATATATATATATTTAAAAAATTTTTTATTTTCTCATTTCTAGAAAACACGGGTTTAATTTCAAAATCGTGTAACTCGGCCAAAAAAAAAAATCGTAGAAAAATTTAATAAAAAGCATTTTGTAGGCAAAATGTTGTAGTTTATGAAATTTAAGTTGAATTTTTCGAGAGAAATTTTTATATATATAAATTAATGAAATATTTTTTCAGGCTCTACGTCAGCGCAAAGGGTCTTCAAAATTAAGATGAACTTCCCAACATCGGTACTCTGCAACGAGGCCGGTCAAGGTGTACTCAAGCAGAAGGTTCGAAACGCCGTGAATTCACTGAACAGAGACTGGAACTTCTGTTCGTATTCTTACGAAGGTAATACACAATTTCCAAACAGACCATTTCATATAAATGTATATTTTTTTCAATATTAATTTTCTACGCCATTTTTTATCTAGGAACTCGCGAGTGCAAAGATCTTAATATCGACGTGCAATGCGATCATCGCGTACGCACGACGAGAGAAACGAGCGAGGAAGACGGCGGAACTTACGTCGTTTCCGCGATTGTGCCCGCAGAACCGTAAGTAACATATTGCAATTTTCTAATTAACGAGCACTTTCGAAAATTCTGCGCTCCGTTCGGACGTTTGCGAGTTCAATTGATAATTTTTACAGTTCGTCAAGTATTCTAAACGCATTTTTACTGTACGCAAAATAATTACAGCTTGCTGTAATATCGTAAATCATATGGCTTGCTCTTTTTGTATCTTGCATATGTCGGTCATTTTAATTGTCAGACGCATCGCTGAAATGTGTTGTCTTCGCCGTGCGTTTCGCTTACAGTGGATCTCAGTATACTGAGCATTTTTCTGTTACTTGTGTTGCATCATAGAACGAGACAGGGTCGCCAAGGCAGTGACACTTATGAGGTGGAGATCTCGTTCCCAGCGATAAAGTAAGGACAGCTCGATTCATGCTACGTGCAATTCGATTCTCATTTACATGTCTTACTCGCTACATTCGACATCATCTCTCTAATACGTTATCATTCTAAACAGTCATATAGCGTGCAGTTTATAACAATCTCCCGTGTGTAATCACATGTTTTAATGTTTCCCATGTTAATCGTGCATAACTCTCGGATTTGTATAATCAATATCAAAAAGTGATAAATCATACTAATGACTAATCCTACGGGGAAGTGTCGGATCAAGTTGTAAGCGAAAATAAAAGCTCGTGTGCACGTTATTACTAACTGATCACCATATATACAGGGATCATCATTATGGGAATATCATCATGTAGCAAGTTGCAACAAAATATCTAGATATTTCGACAGTGATAACAATGTAACAAAATTCGTGTAACCAAGCTGTGAGATCGTTTACCATTTCTTTATTGAAAAAATCTATCATTCAATACGCTAACAGATTACAAAAATAATAATTTAAACAAATTATAAAATAAAAATTGCAGCTAATTAGAAAATTGAAAATTGATGCGTGAAAAATAAATGCATTTAAATCTCTAGTTAGCTTACGCGTCCAGCATCTTCGGTTTACGATAAAGATAATTACGACATAAATTGACAACTTACTTTATTGACGCAACAGTCAATGTATGCAAAGTTTATACGTGTATTAATTACAATTACAATAAAGATATGAGTGCGGTTTAATCTACGGCACGCGAGACTACTGATGAGGATTCTAGTCCAAAGACAAGGCTGCCTTAATTATACACTCGCCTCGAGATAACAGCTGTACATATTTGCGCAAATCCTTCCATGCCTGTTGCTATTGCATACATTGTACGGATCTACAGAGCGATAACTTTTGTCTATATTTCGCAGCGATCCGATCCTGAACGCTAACTCGAACGAACGCTCGACCGTGCAGATGTTGCTCGAAAAACTGATCCTAGAAGAGGACCAATTCGATGTTCACGATATTTTGCCCAACACTGTGCCGGATCCTGCGTCTCTCATCCTGGAATCCGACTATGCCTGCCCGATAGGACAAGTTGTCATGGCGCCAGATTGCGGTAAGCCGATACGTATCATTAATTATGGTTGCAATAGGAAACTATTTTTTCAACATATCTAATGAAAAATTCTATGATATAAAAATATTTGTTTGTAGATACAAGAAACAAGTTTTGTAAATATTGCAAGATTCTTTTACTCAGAAAATATGCTAGCAAAATATGCGGTTGATATTCTTAAGAAACTTGATATTAATTTGATACTCTGTTTTAATATATAAAATAATTTTTTTATATCATATATATATTATTTAAAATATGTATATTTGGATAGCCGATAAATATTGAGAAAAGAGATTTTGCAGCATTATTGATTTCTCTAAAATATCACAATGCGAAAAGTTGAAAGCGTATATTCATTATTTACAGTACCGTGCGCGGTGGGTACTTATTATGACGAAGAGACGATGCAGTGCATGTTCTGTCCCGTGGGCACTTACCAGAGCGAGTCCGGACAGTTGAGATGCAATTCCTGCCCGGTAATCGCCGGTCGTCCCAGCGTAACGATGGGTCCTGGTGCTCGTAGCGCGGCTGACTGCAAGGAGCGATGTCCGGCCGGCAAGTACTACGACGATGTGGCCGGTCTCTGTCGCAACTGTGGTCACGGATTCTACCAGCCGAACGAGGGTAGCTTCTCATGCCTGCTCCGGGACGAGTGCGGATCCGGACAGCAATTGGCCGTCGAGGGAAAGTGCGAGCCTTGCCCGCGCGGCACGTATCGCACTCAGGGAGTGCAAGCGTCCTGCCAAGCTTGTCCTCTCGGTAGAACGACCCCGAATATGGGATCCGCCGCAATAGAAGAATGCTCGCTTCCGGTCTGCGAGCCCGGGACTTACCTCAACGGAAGCCTCAACGATTGCGTGGAATGCAAGAAGGGGACGTATCAGTCGGAACCACAACAGACTTTCTGTATCCCTTGCCCGCCGAACACCAGCACCAAAGGATCCGCAGCTGTGAGTTTCTCTTCCTCTTTCTCTTTAATATTAATAATATTAATATATTTTTCTATAAAAACGTTATACACACACATATGCAATAAATAAATGAAATTATTTGTTATTGAATAAAAAATTGAAGTAATGATACCAATATTTACGTCTATTGACAGACGAAGAAGGCAGACTGCACGAATCCGTGCGAGACAAGCGGCGCAGAGATGCACTGCGATGCAAACGCGTATTGTCTACTTATACCGGAGACGAGCGACTTCAAATGCGAGTGCAAGCCCGGATACAATGGCACCGGAACCGTCTGCACGGACGTTTGTCTTAACTACTGCGATAACGAAGGTGTCTGTCTGAAGGACTCGCGCGGGCAACCCTCGTGCCGATGCAGCGGCAGCTTCACTGGCAAACATTGCACAGATAAATCCGAGTTCTTTTACATTACCGGTGGCATAGCGGGAGGCGTTATCTTGATAATCATTGTGGTGCTGCTCGTCTGGATGATATGCGTCAGGTTAGCGTAGAAAATTGATTAAAAATTAATCCAGGAGAATCTAGATTAATTTTTAATATATTTTTCAATAATAAATTAATATTTTTTGTCAGTATACCATCAAAGATAATTATCAGAGATATTTTTATTCAACAGAGCTTCTAGAAAGAAGGAACCGAAGAAAATGCTCACCCCAGCGACTGACCAGAATGGCTCTCAGGTAAACTTTTATTACGGTGCGCCGACACCGTACGCCGAGTCGATAGCACCGTCACATCACAGCACATATGCTCATTATTACGACGACGAGGAGGATGGATGGGAAATGCCCAACTTCTATAACGAGACTTACATGAAAGGTAAAGCTGTATTAAAAATATTCTGCGCACGCGAACTCAAGATCGCGATTTAGACTGACATAATATCGCGTGGACTAAATATTACAGTGATTATTCTCGCGATAAAATATATAACTTGATATTATGTATTTTATATCGCAATATATGTCACGAGTGCTTATTAATTTTTTTTTCCTACACAGAGAGCCTGCACAACGGGGGCAAGATGAATAGCCTTGCCCGATCAAACGCCAGCATTTACGGCACGAAAGACGATCTTTATGACAGACTGAAGCGTCATGCGTATACGGGTAAAAAAGGTACAATCCCGCAACTACCTTCGTAATTATATTAATCAACGCCACGGCACATCGCACGTTTGGCGCGCGACCGTCCGAAAATTACTGCCGAATCGGATGCAACGCAGTCTCGCCGGCTGCTTATTTATTAATCGATTTCAATTCGACGTATACACCTCGTCTTTTTATCATCATAGAACACGTAACAAATTTCCGTTATTACTTGATTAACGTAACGACAAATTGTGAAGCCGTTACAGCGCGTTATCACAGAAACGAGCGTCTGCGGTGCAGGAAATAACATTACGAAATGTCCATTTTGCAGATAAGAGCGACAGCGACAGCGAAGGCCAGTGACCGGGTAGAACAATGACTTTCATGCCAACGTAGAGTACGAAAATGCGAGAGATATCGGTGTAATCAGACGAAGCGACGACGGTATCTCATCCTTCGTGCGACGTCGCCGTCGTTGCTCCAACCCGATCGAGTTATTTATTGCATACCCTTCTATATGACGGCGCCGAGATCCGCGGTCGTCTAGATCGGGCGACTGGATGTGAAAGGAGAGAAACAGAGAAAGGCTCGATCGGAGCCGCGGAATCTCGCGTCGATCTCCAAGAGACACGCGTCTGGCGATCAACGCAAGAGTCCTGGAACGATGATCGGCAGATCGTACACCGATCGTCGCTTCGGCACGCGTTTACTCGAGTCGGAAATCCGAGGCGCGCAACATAAAAAAGGAAAAAAAAAGATAAAATAAATAGGACCCGTCCGTCCTTCGTGAAGTGAAATTCGATGCGTGTTCAATGATTAAAGAGACTTTCGCGCGAGATTGTAATTTTTGTAATTTAATACTGCGTATAGACATGTATCTTAAGGATCATCCCGACACCATTCACCATCCCGTTCCCTTTCTCTTTTTTTATTAACCCGTAAGATACGTGAGAGAAACTGTGTGCTTGTATATGTTAATATAACTATATACGTACGTAGATTTATATTTTGTTACTCGAAAGGTATACGTATCATCGTTGTAATATAATAAATGCGCGGTGACGCGCGCGAAGAGCGCAACGGGAGGGAGGGAAGAGTTTGGCGAGATTTCGAATTTAATTTCAGCGAATGTGAAGGAATCAGAAGAAAGGAGAAAAAGGAGAAGTCTCGCGAAAATCTCTGCGACGAGAGAAGACCGATTTGATTCGCGATGATCGAAAAAAAACTTTGGGAACTCTTACAGTGTACTCTCTCACGCGACGATAATCTCTTTGTAAAAACGGGAATGTAGAGAGCCGCCGGGCGTGACAAACGGTGAACTTTGTGTCTGCGCGGCAAGTGTGCACCGAACGATGCTTACCACACTGTTTTTTTCATTTATGTTGTAAAAACTTTAATAAATAGTTGTTTTTTTATTAATAAAATGTCCCCGTGTCCCCATTTTATTCGCGTGCTATATATAGTATATAAGTGTATTATAAATTACCCTATATATAAGACTCATCCTTAACGACTTGCAACATTTCATTTATGCAGTTTTTCTTTATTTACTTCTATCGGTATCACTCTGTGCATTCTCTGTTTAAAATCGAGATTGATCTTGACTTTGTCAATATTTAATTGAGACATGCCGTGCGACGCAATTTTACTTGTCGCTGTCGGATCGATGCGGCTGTTCGCGTTATCGTCTACAAAATCAGCGTCCTCGCCATCAGTTGCGTCACTTCCGCCGCTTTCATTGTCAAATTCAATTGGGCTGTCAATGGAACTCAACCTTTCACACTCTTCGATTTCTATTATATTAAAAAGAAATAGAATAACCGTGGGCTAGAATAACGTGGGTTGAAATATGAAATAAGAAACGTACTATATTGATCTTTCTGTTTTAGAATATTGAGCGCCCTGATAACGTCTGCATCGTTTCGATCGCACTTCAACACTATTAATATAATTAAATTTTGATGTGATTTATCTGCCTGTTTACTAACTTAATTTTAATCGGATAATGTTTATATGTACATGCAATATACGTTAAAGTAAAATTAATTGATCCTTACGTCGATTTCCAAAATCACGAGCTTTTGCATAATCTTCTGTCATTAAAGCAATTATAAACTAAAATATACAAAGCTTGGTTAATATTTAGCAGAGAGAGAAATAATTTTTAAATTTATGCGATGA